TTAGGATTAGGGTACGGCTTTATTTAAGGGACCGGCCACCCCATTGTTTGGATTCATTCTAGTATTTTGATTCTTGTCGTAGACATTGGAGATTACTGGGTCTCGAATTCCAGGGTTTATTTTAATAAGCATCCGATTAGTGGTACTTTTGGCCGCTAATCTTGATTTTGCCAATTGATCCATATCAGGTTCTTAGCCTATGGACTTCAGCCACGTAGCATTTTGTCCCTTGCATACATAGTATAAATACCAGTCTCGGGTGTTAGAGACAGGCGCACAAATTCAAGCTATCAAGAGTAATTATTCTGCAACAATTTCGAGCAATCCACGTACCACAAGTTCTTCAACTAGTACTGACGACTACTACACTACTTTGAGTAGAACACAATCTAGGATGAGTGAGGGTTATTGTAAGAGTGATATTAGGTTTATTCATCTGTCAATGGTAGAAACTGTTTTAGGCAATCTATCACTTATTGATTTATTGTTTATGCTGCACATTGAAAATGCAAGGCACTTACTTTTCAACCCTGAGTTTTTCCTTAATTTTTATCTTTCAGAATCAGATAAGTTCTTCATCCAAAAGTAAACATAAACCAACAAAATTTTGAAAGTTCGCAAAACGACATACTGACATCTAACATGTGATCAAGAAATGGAATTCCAGTGCTGCTGTCAGGTGAACCAACACCATCCAAGTTTAATTCCACAAACACATTCGTTTCATTCGTAACCCTTTTCACCGACCCAATTCGATCTCGAACTGAAAATCCAAAAGCAAAATCACAAAACAACTCAGACTTGCGAGTGCAAGAAAACTGCGCATAAAGAACAATGACGCCTAATCAGTTAGACCAGACATAAGTAACCAGAAATTAGGGTTCTTACCAGTGTCGACAGGAGGATCAGCCGTTATCGGAGAGCCATGGTCATTGAGGAGAGAAGAGGCGCTACAGCCTGTTGTTCTCTGCACCTCCATTGGGTAAAACTTATATCGTTGATTGATTGAAACGAGAGGGTGCTTAATTTGGTTGGGCGTGGGGACAAGTTGAAACCTAGGTTTGAGTAGCTGAGAAGAGCAACAAGATGAACTACTGTGTACAACACAGCGGTGTGGAACAGAGAGATCCATTGTGTCGTGGATAGGAAGAGTGAAATAAGAGACGCCAATCGGTATTAAAAAGGATGATTTGATTTCAAGATGGATGCTTTATTGCCTTTTAACCCAATTGAATTTTCTATATTTACTGATTAATTCTTTGGAAAAAGAATTGAATAAATAAATTATCGGTTTTTTTGAAGTCCATTAAATAAGTGAAGTATTGTTTGAGGACGAGGGTTAAGGTGATAACCGGATTTGGACTTTTGATCACCTTTAATCTCAAATTCATTTATGATTCGTGTTTGATACGAAGATTGATCTCGTACATCTCATCCTAATATGCATTTAAAAGTGTAAATATATTCTTACACTTCTCATATTTAACTCTCTTTCTCATTGAAACTCAACCCGATTAAATAAGTCCTTTTGACCATGAGAACTTACCTGCTATCGACTATATAGGTAAACCAATTTAAAAGAAAAACATAAATCAGTTAATTGGGAAACCTAATTCAGGTCATGTTTTCATCTTTTAAAACATATTGATTTGATATTAAGCACCACTAAAATGGTAACGACTTGGTTGGGATCTTGGTAGTTCTGATTATTTTTCTATTAAGTTATCTAATACTTTGTGTTGTTTGTATTTTCAGGTATATAGTCTTAAATGAGATTTTAATTACATTCATAGTCTTTTCATGAGTATAAAGCTATTTTCTTAATAGGACAGGAGGTTATGAATTTAATTAAAAACTCATTTAAGATCATATCCCTAAATGACACGATTGTGCTCCCTAAGTAATACCCACCATCGTTTTACCTTACACCATTCAACACCCCCACCCCTGCACCGCCCCATTATCGTTTCCCCAACCATCTCAGGTTTGATCCTCCACATGTTTGTTTTTTCATCGCATACATGAGCAATGAAATGAGATAACATATCACGTTCCATTCTCCTTTTGGATTTTGCTTATGCTTCGAATGATCGAATTCTTGTAATCTTGTCGATTTGCTTATGTTAATGTTTGGGAAAGTGCATAGATGTATATGTGTGTATATAAATATGATGTTAACGAGATGTTGGTTCGATCAATGGATAGAAGTTGATAAGGTGGTGGTTCGATCAATGGCTAGAAGTTAACGAGGTGCTGGTTCAAGTCATTATGATAGTCAAAATCACTCTTGAGTTTGGTTTGCTACGACTCACTTAGTCTTCAAGAAATATGCCTCAGTTCCAAAAAAACCTCAAGGTATCCCATAAAAATAACCTTTTATTTATCGAATCTGTTATACTATAGTTGATGGTCTAACTGCTTGTGAGACGGGCTCTTGCTTCTTCAGTCTACATCAGATCCATCATCTTCCGCTTGTTAATGTACTCCTACAACTAATCTTTATCGAATGCATAGTTCTTCATGGTTGTTAAAGAGATTTTGAGTACATTTGTTTCTAATTTCTAATGATGTTGCTTTATATATAAACTCAGTTGCCCCTTAATCATATCCTATGTTTTACATTACCATTGTTATAACATTTCGGTCTTGGTCAACACTATAATATTGATTTTGGTGTTTTACTATCTTTACACCAATTTGAGAGAGAAATTGTTATTTCTTTCGTTTTGTAAGTTCATAGATTTATCTATACTATATATATATATATATATATATATATATATAAGCATTTAAGTCATTGTCTTAATTACAACTCTTAAAGCATAGAGTACAACCATTTTATACAAGAAATTTAAAAAACTCTTAATTACAAATTTTTATACACAATGTACAAGCYATTTATGCAAYATCTCACAACCCACAACCCCAAATGTTAATTGGGTCAAACSCACCTTTTTCTTATCAGACTTTTAAAAATACCCTTTTGGGCCGATATCTCCTTCTTCAGAATTCTATCTCTGCAACTAAAACCACAAGATCAAAAGCTTTCTTCTTCTTTCTTCTTCTGTCATTTTTGTCACATACGAATCAAAACATTTTGGGATAGATAGCCGATAACTTTCTTCTTTACAGACCTCGTTTAACATAACAATGATGGTTTTGATGTATCACCTCGAGCAGATGTGCGATTTCATGAATCAAGGGGATTTGATGTATCACAACCTCATCGATACATATAACTCCCTCCTCCCTTTTGATTTAGTCTCACAAGTTCTTCAAAACCCTAGAATTTGGAGGTATGCTTTCAAAACAATATTGTTTTCTATTTCAATTTGATTTTTCCAACCATATGAGATTTTAATTTCCTTTCTCTTATTTTTGGTTTAACCGATTGATGAAGCAAGGCTATTTACAACTTTGAGGTAAGAATCCTCAAGAATCCTCTTTTATTGATAATTTTGCTTAGTATGCGATTGATTGATAATGTTTTCTCAATTATTGCTGCAACCATGTCCTTCACCTATTCTGTTGCTGTCAAAATGAACATATTCTGTTGCTGTCAAAATGAACATATATATGTTTACCTGATTTTGATATTCAGGTAAAGTATTGGGA